ACTCTGGTAAGTACGCGGCGGTAACCTGAAGATAGCCTTCAGGAATTGGTAAAAAGAGTTACGATAGGGACCACTTGCCGGACTATTCCTCTCACCAATATCGGATTTCTTAAAAAAGAATGTTTAAAGAAAAAAGAAGAAACAAAGGTGTAAGGTTGATAACCAATGGCTGAACTTGTAAGAATTGAGTTATGTAAGAATAATTAATTTGAACTTTTTTGAGTATTTTGTTTAGTATATCAACCGGTGTAAGGCAAGGAAATGCTATGTCCGCCACTCTCTTCACTCTAGCGTTACATAAGGTAGTTAATAGAATAAATACGCAAGAAAATATATTTCATTCAAGTATTCAAATCTGTGCATATGCAGATGACATAGCTCTTGTTGTCAGAAGTGTTCAAACCCTTATTGAAATTTTAAATATTATCTATGCTGAAAGTAAAATTATGGGTCTTGAAATAAATGATTTAAAAACGAAATATATGTCCATTGCTTCAGAAAATTAAGAAATTCCCATAATCTTGTGGTAGACGAACAGATTTTCTAAAAATCAATATCTTTTCCGATCTAGGGGCAAATAAATAATGAAAACATGACTGAGGTGTACAGAAAGATAATGGCCGCTAATCGTGATTATTTCGCGAATTTAAAGCCTTTTAAATCATCCTTAATATGAAGGAAAACGAAAATAAGGATATAAACTACCTTAATGAGATCCAACATCGACGTTTACTACCACCATGGCAAATTCGTTAATGGTTTTCGAGAAGAAGATCCTGAAAAAAATATTTGGTCCCTAGTAGAAACAACTCAAGCATGGTGGATTAGAATCAATAAGGAGCTATATGAGTTATTTAACGACAATGAAATTGTGATCTTTATTAAATCACGGTGGATCGAATGGCCTGCATGCTCACGAGACCTGACACCACTGGATATTTTTTTTTTTTTTTTTGAGATGACATTACACAAAGAGTCTATGCAAGTCCGGTCAATGACCTTAATTCCATACGAAGAAAGATAATTGAATCTTGTGAAACAATAACACATATCCAGTGCCATTCTGCCACTGCTGCTGTTGAAGAAGGATGCCGTGCCTGTCTTAACGATCAAGGAAATCACTTTGAACAGCATTTATTTAATTATTTGTTTTATTGTTGCTAATACCCTGCAGGGTCATTGGCAACACTTCCTATTCATACTTTTTTTTGTTGAATTTCTAAATGACCCAGCATGCTGATCAATCTCAATCGATAATATTTAATAAAAGAGAAAATTTTACGGAACGATCATCCAACGTACAGAATATAATAATTTATTCATTAATTGTTATAATTCTCTCATCATTTTCTTTCTTCTCACTTCCATCCCTTCAGTTCAAAAGGCATAACGAAATGGCCAGAATTAATACAGCTGATGGTTCAGAATTCCTAGGAAGTCCAAAACAATAGATTTCGCCATACTTATAAATGGATCCTTTCCATACTCAGATATTCCCAAAAAAAAAAAAAAAAAAACCTGTTGAAAGAGGAATCGGACTTCTACTTCCGAATCAAAGACCTCTAACCGAAAGATCTCTCTCACCAAATTCCATTCTATATTTTTACTTTCACTTAGCTATATATGTAATATATATTATAATGTAATATATATTACATATATAGTAAGGGAAAGTATTGCGATCGTGAATATTTTCTAATCTGAGTTTTCAACGGAAATACACGTTTTGAAGTATCCTGAGTCCAAATAACCAAGTCCAACAAAATGGTATGTGTGTCGGTGTGTGCTTATGTTAGCAGTATAGCGCAAAAACGAAAAGTCGTACGAAACTGCTATTTCGTATTTAAGATAAGTATATGCCTTAGATGTGACAGCAACTTTTTCCTTAAAATCGGCTAATCGGAAGTGCCACTTTATATCAACGCTGAAACAAATTTTTACAATTTTCTCAAAAACGACTACCGATTTTGATCAAACTCGCTGTATAATTTTATAATGAAGTGGTCTTTAAAATCAAACAGGTCTTATCCCCGTTGATGTCATTTTACAGTGCTTAAATGCCCAATGTTGATATGCTTACGAAAAAATGCTAAATATAACTTTTGAAAGAATTTGATAATTGAATAAAGGAGAAAAAACAACAAAAATGCTGATCCAGGTCAAAAACGAATCTCCGGAAATACTAGTCAGAAGGTATACGTATAATATATCGTTGGATAGCGAGGAGTTTTAGGAAAAACAATATCTAATATAGAAAGTTTTAAAAGGTAACGGAAAGTGGCTAAAAAATTATAAGAAATAATGTTTAAAAACCAATATTATTTAACGATAATCACATGTTTTCAAGGAAATTAAGTGGAATTTAGTAAATGTAAACTTTTAAAATATTTTTAAGTTTGAAAAAAGTATTTAAAATCCATGAATTCGAGACAATGACAGTGTTTAAGGTACTATTTCATTGTACTTGTGTCAATGAAGAAGTGAAATATAGAAATATTTAATGGATATGTTTATAACCATAAATATATTTACTGTAGTTTAATAACTCTAGATCTGATATTATAATTAAATAATTAGGTATCCGTTTATTCCGAAAAATCATCAAATAATCTTTTAGAAAATTAAATTAATGAATAATTTGATGAATTTTCACTTTGTGGTATTCCAACAGTATCTACTTCCAGTTAGTTTAACAACTTTTGGCCTGTCTATGACAGCCAATGCAAATCTCTTAATTCTATTTCAATAAAATTTGCAATATAACAGTTTAATAACTGATAGTCGTACAATCCATAATCAACCGATCTTACAACCCATAATCGACCGGTGATGTAATCAATAGGACTATTGTTATTTTAATGATATTTAAGATTTATTAGTGGTAAGTTTTTTTGTTTTAACTCGGTTAAAAATTCAATTAAAAAATTTTCTATAGCCTAACATGGCCAGAAAAAATTTTCTATTCAAAGATAAGTGAAAGTTGTGTGTTGCGCGCACTAGATTTTTCTTTTGGATATAAATGTAATTTTCACAGATTTGTTATTATTATTTTTGTATTTGGAGGTCTTTATTCTCATCGTTTGTTTCAAATTTAACTGTAGGATCAACTATCGGAGCCTCCTTTCTCTTCACACTAAAAGCTAAGATATCTACGTAGCTCGCTGAGCTTTCCGTGCGGAGGCATTAAACTTCGATGAAGTATCTGAGCGTTTTCGTCATCAGAAACCCGGCAATTGAATGCTTTTATTACTGTGACGGCGAGTGAGTGCAAAAAAAAAATCAAAAAACTGTTTTTATAAAAAATTCTAAAAACAATAAACCTCCACAACGAATTGGCGGCACTGAACTATCTATATTTGATTAATGTAAGTATTGTACATTAAATAAATAAAGAGTTAAAAGTTTGGGTATCATATTTTCTTTAAAATGTGTTTTATAACTCTACATGTTTTTTCAGAATTATGAAGGTTTAGATAAAAAAATACATATTTACGAATGTACGAATGAATGAACGATTTACGAACAATGAATGGTAAAATTGAAAATTATTTTATATCTTTAGAAGGAAAAAAAAACATGTTTTCCTTCAACCACCCACCTTTTCATCAATGTGACTACCGACTTACCTCTGAAGTACAAATATATATATATATATATACAAAGATAATTAAATAATGAGAAAATATAATTCCAGATCGAATCCAAAAATTATATGATTTAGTTTACGCTGATAGGCTGATGATCATCAAGTAGAGCGATAGAAGTTATCACTAGCCATAATCGTGAAAAAAGCAACTTTTCTTTTCTACTACAACTGCAAGGCAAATAACACCCAAATTTAGGTAACTAATCTGAATTCGACTAAAATTTTAGGTTCATTTGAATGTTCTGATCAACTGGCAATAATAATGAAAATGATTGAATTTTGATTACTTATGAATATACCAATCATCTAAAGTATTTTATTAAATATCCATTTTATTAAATTATTTTCTGTACTTTTAATTTTTGGACATATCATTTAAGGATCTTAAAGTAGTATTATCGTCTGTCTTGTAGTAGAAATCCCCCTGTATTTACTCATTTAGATGACAATGTGTGAGGGAATAAGAAGGAATATATAATAAATAGGAATGTGAGGTTGCACTGTGAATTGTACTCAATTGTGCAGGGGGACAAATTGCTCATTGGAAAATCTCATATCGATAAACAATCGATGAAGAAGGAAAAAGGTCGGATCAGGTAGCAGCAGCTGGAAGAGGACGCCAAACACTTGAGGCCTGGACACCAACACAAGAAGACGTCACCGGGGAAGAAAGGCCTACTACATTGAAGAACCAATAATATCAAGGCTACAGTTACAAGACTCTTATACATTCATTTATTGCAGTTGTAAATAAATTGTTTTATTACACAGGGGTGAAAAGTCATTTATTTATTTAGTTGTCCTATATGCCTCACGATTGAAGAATAACAAACCAGGTGAATCAATTCATTCAAAGTGTATTTACTAAGTCCCACATTTCATATATGTATTCTTATTGTTTCTTCTCACTAAATGTCACAAAAGGTATTAGATTTCCGAATTCCCAATGACAGTTAAACATCCTCAAAAGTCAATATCCAGTGCTGGGGATTTGTTTTAATATTCAGGAGTGTAAATAACCTAAGTTCCCCGATATATAAACGGAAGGCTATTCGCCTATTCCCGCCAAAACAAATTATTTAAAAGTAACTTTCAGTAGGTTATTTATTTATTTAGTCTCTTGCAAGGCGCAGATTATAATATTTTCAATAAACGTATTAAAAAAAATAGTGTGATTATTTTACTTCTGTGATTCTCTCTTAAATGGTGAGTTCAAAGGTTAAAATGAGGAATTCAGCTGCCCTCCTGAGGCACTCCAGTCTTCCGTAAAGCTTTCTTTACATCACAAACAAATTTATTATAGAGGTTTTGAGTAATAGTTTATTATAATCTAATAAAAATATAAACTACTTACAGCCCCTTCATAAGGATATGAATCTTCAGTGTCGATACCACCGTTAGCAGAGATGTAGATGAAGGCCTGATTCATAAGACCTCCAGAGCATCCTTGGTTACCATATGAGCCGGAGCAATCCATTAACTGCTGTTCACTTAGTGAGATCAGCTGTCCTCCACTTATGAAGAGTTGTCCTTCAAGGGCACCAGTCTATGGGCAAGTAAATAAATAATATTTTATTCGATGGTTTTAATCTGAATCATCCGTCTCTTCTCTATTCTATTACAAATCTTTTCGATTTCTTTATAATTGAAATTGAAGAAATATCAACAGACAGCACATGGAGGAGTGATGCATTTTAGTAACGATGCATTCACATCAAAGACTTTTTGGAGAGAATAAGCCTTGACTCTATGGGTTGACGTCGTTGGTTTGAGAGCAAACATAGCCAACAGATATCGTCCAAACCCAAAACCTAATCTCTTTCGCCTGTCATAACATTACTTCTTCAATACCAGAACGATCCAATCAAATGTGGTCATAACCCTGTCGGGAAATGGTTTAGCGAACTAACAATATAGAAGTTTTGGAATAATAAGTGTTAGGAATCAGTTCTGTCACTGCCATGGTTTTTATTTATACTTACAACCACCCACCCTAAAGGAGCTAATACCAGATAAAAGAAAAATTAATAATCTTGGATTTGGATGGGTCAAAATGCTATGACATCAATATCATTTATGTCATTATTTTTGCTTCCTCATTACTTAACGTAGGGAAGCATTGTATTCGAAGCATTGTGTAAAGGTTAATAAACTTGATAATTATCCGAAATAACAAACAGATTTTTAAATAAATTATTTTTAATAGGTGAACTAGAAAACAGTATTGCCTCGTGAACATTTTTTAATTTTTTATAATACTTCTTACCATTGTCCTGATTAGGTGTTCAAGCAATTAAAATATCACATTAAAGGTTCAATAAAATTGTTGTGTTAATTAAAATCAAAATGTCTGGTGTCTAAAATTCGGGGCAGGGATTTGTATTTTATGAATATAAGTAATTTGATTTATTCCTATATTCGCCACAAAAATTGGTTGCTTTATGGTACCATATTTTATCATCATTAAAGCTCTAAACTCACCTCATTTTGACTTGTTGGTTTAACGATTCCTATACTCATATAAGCAAAGAAATAGTATAACTTAGCAAGTTTGGATATGCCCAAGGTAAACTTTATGCAGTGAGAATTTCGAAATTTTCGATGGAAATATTTGCTAAATCATCTTTCTTGTGAGAAATTTGCGAATGACTCAATAGTACTTAGAAAGCTCTTCGTGAGATTTTACTTAATACTACTCTCCGAACTTAAATTTGGTACAACCAGACTTTGGTTTATATTCATTAGTTAAAACAGGAAATGCCCATCTCCCCCCACCCTCCCACAAAGTCGATGTCGCACGGTACCCCCTCCACTCCAACCCCAAGAAAATATATTGCTATTGTGTTCTCCAAATCAAAAGTAAAATTTAAAATATTGTTAACCATATTCAATCAGACTTGCCGTTTTCTTTTTTATGTTTTTCCCTAGTTCTCAGGTTGAAAAGTTGCTTCAAATTAAAAAAAAAAATATGTTTCCCAAAATGTGCCCACTTCAAAACTCCGTTAAAATTTATCCCATTCAAAATTTTTGATGCAACCTCTTTTTGGGCACACCTCGGTTAAACCAATAATGATTTTCTGTTTAGCTTGTGTAAATTTTTACGCATGATTCTAAATAAATATGTTTAATTAGTTTTCAATATATTTAAATAGAAATACATTCATTAATTATCATAATGATCAAGATGGTTCCTGGAGCTTGAAGTTACATTTTAAGTTCAAGGGTTATGACTTTAAAGAAAGGTTAAAGGCATTAATGTTAAATAGATTGTTACTTTTTATGCACCCTTCGAAAATTCATTTTATTTAATTTCAAATTGCATTTAATGAGCATTTAGATGTGTATTTAACTTACATATTAGTGGTTACTTAATTAATCATTCTATCTACTTACCGCGCTAAATGCCCAACAAGCGCCACAATCGCCTTGATTCTTAACTGCTGTAACTGCACCTTTATCCCTCCAATCTACAGCATCTGGAAGGTCTCCTTTCAAAGTAGTTTCAGGTATGGAAGAGTTATTTTGAGAAAGTATTTTTCTGTAATTCAGCCTGTTCTTAATTTCCCTGAATTCGGACACCGTCTGTTATAGAATTGATATAAGTTGGAAACAGGAAAAATAAACGTTATAATTAATGAAAATAAAAATTAATCAGTTAAAAATGAGAGTATATACCAAATCACCGAATTGATTCATCTTTAAGAAAAAAGTAACGAGACCTTTTCGGTAATGTTTATTGTGTTCTTCAATTTTCTGCTTGTTTTCATGAAATATTTTCCTCCGGATACTTTCTTCAGTCGTAGATTTATAGATTTTCCCATGGCTTATCTAAAATAATATTAATTAATTAATGTAATCAAATCCAACCCATTAAAAACTAATCTTAACTGGGAAAATTAATGAACAGTGCTAAGTTAAGTAATTTATCGTTAGCTATTGTCTTAACTCTGGAACGACACACTGAAGACTAATACAACCCACAATATTTTGAATATTAATTTACTTTTATATAAGTTGCTCTTTGGCCAAGTTTTTTCATGTTAATAAACATCATACTTAGTCAGACTAATTACGGTCTTTAGTGCTCTATTATTGGGCTTATATCATTATTGGAAGATATCGAGAGTCATTATGGGGTATCCCAGGGTTTTCTTTGTTATTTTAAAACTTCTTTTCAATTTTGGAACTTCAAATATTACATACATTCATTTCTGATGTTATATTTGTTAATCAGTGGTATTTTCAATTCAGACATTAATGTATAGAACCTATTTTTGTAGTATAGTATCCACCGAAAGATAATGTATTCTAACGAAATCCATAAATTGTTATGAGTATTAGAAGATTAATAAAACATGCAAGGAGCGTAATAAATAAAGACTGCATGTGTCCAAAACATAAAGTTGGCTGCAACAGCAAGGAAAACAGGAAGGTTTTCTCTCCGATTTTTCTTTGGAATGTTGAATGATGCTGGTATAAACAGCTTAGTTAACTGGGAAAAGAAGATGAAACGGAGAAATTATTTATTTGGATTAGGCTATTCGTTATTTGAGATCTGTTTGAAAAGGATACTGCAAGTGGAGACACTCACACGAATGGTTTGTTGCAACATAAAATAAAATTGCGAATAAAAAAATAAACAACTATTGTTGGAAAATAAACTAAATATTCGTTTTTCACGAGAAGGAAATATGGGAGGACAAAAATGGTTGGTCATCAATGTAAGAGATCTATCTACAATGGACACAGGGCGACACTTTGCTTGGATTGCTGTGAGGTTTATTTTTATTATCTTTAGTAGTTTTTATTATCTTTTTAAGCAAAAAAAAAGTTTCCTTTATTGTATATATATATATATATATATATATATATATATTTACATTCCAAATATATGTATTTAATTATATCAACTTAATATATTTTCAATGAAAAAATATTGAACTTTTGTTGATTTTTAGCGATGCAGATGTTAACATTTTACTTTCACTCACCTATGTATGAAATATTTAGTAAGGGAAAGTAATGATATCGTGAAAATTTTCGAATCTGACTTTTCAACAGAAATACATGTTTTGAGATCTCCAAATGACCAAGTACCGCAAAATGATCTGTGTGTGTGTGTGTGTGTCTGTGCGTGTTTATGTATGGTAAGTGTAGCTCAAAAACGGATAGTCCTCCGAAATTGATAGTACATAGGTAGGTTTATACTTTAGATGATACAGCAACATTCTCCTTAAAATCTGCTTACCTGAAGTGCCACTTTATATTAACGGTGAAGCACATTTTTACAATTTCCTCAAAAGCGGTTCAAAAACGATTTTGATTAAACATGGTGTATCATTGTATAATGAAGTGGTCTTTAATATCATTGAGGTTTTTAATATCATTTAGATCGTGTCCCCTTTATGTCACTTTACAGAGCTTAAAATCCCTATATTCATATACATCTTTCTCTAAAATACCTTTAATATAGTTTATTTTAAAAAATGAACTCAGTTTTATTGACATAACAATAAAAAATGGCTAAATATAAAGTTTAAAAGAATATGAAAATTGGAGACTAGGAAATAAAAGAAAATTGCTTATCCAGTTTCATTGCTTATCAGGCCGCATACCCAGAAATAACAGTCTGAAGGTATACTTAAAATATATCGTTGGAGAGCGGATAATTTTAGAAAAAATAATACCAAATAAATAAAATTGTAGAAGGTAACGGAGAGTGAAGAAAAAATATTAATAATAATTTCAGAAAACTAATATTATTTAACCTAAATCACATGTTTCAAAGGAAATTAAATGAAATTGTTTCACTGAATGTAAACTTAGAAACAAGAGTTTCTAAGTTTGAAAAAAAAATATTTAAAATCCACATAATTATGGCACTGTCATTGTTTGAAATACTATTTAATTGTACTTCTGTGAAAGAAGAAGTGAAATATAAAAATATTTCATGGATCTGTTTATAATCTTAAATACTTTTGCTGTAGTTTAATAACTCTAGATAGGATATTATATTTAAATAATTAGATATCTATTGGCAGTTTATTCCAAAAAATCATCAAGTAATCTTTTAGAAAATTGAATTCGTGAATAATTTGATAAATGTTCCCTTTGTGAAATCCCAACATTATCCACTTACAATTAGTGTGACAACATTTGAACTATCCATGGCAGGCAATGAAAATTTCGTAATTTAATTTCAGTAAACTTTACAATGGAAAATGACAGTTTAATAACTAATAGTGCTACAATCCATAATCATTTATAGTTTAAATATTCAGATTCACTTTCAAATCTCTCTAGGCATATATGAGACTTTCAGTTGACAGAATGGCTAACCCCAACTTCAATATTCTTTATTATTAATTTTATGGTGAAATTTATACATTTATTTACAGTTCTATATTTCAACATTGCAATTACCTACTCTGGAATCAACTTCAGGGAACTGTATGGATAACATTTCCAACTAGAAATATCACTAAAATGACATTATTCAAAAATGTTGAAACTGGAGTTAGTCGTTCAGTAAACTAAAATGCTCAGAGACTGAATTTATGTGGTTTATAAAACTAGAGTTTTATTACCAACTGTTGATATAATAATATAATATAATAGACTATTTGTAATTATAATGGTCTTAATGATTTATTATCTATATGTTTTAAGCTTTAGCTACGTTTAAAATGCACTTTTATAATAACTCATCATTGCCAGAAAATAATTTCTATTCAAAGTAGAGGAGTAAGTGAAAGTTGTGTATTGCGCGCACCATATTTTTACTTTATGTGAGCATATAAAATATATTCTCTAAGGTCGCCTTGAATTTAGTTTTTTTTTGTTTTGTTTTTTTTTTTTGGTTTTCCTGACTGTTTTTGGGACAGGAATTGGAATAGGAGGGTTTTGAATGTAGATAAGGATGAAGAATGTCGAAGGAAGGGAATTCCAGAAACTAACAGAACGTGCAATAAAGGAGTTTTGTAAAATATATATAATATATATATATATAATATATATATATATATATATATATATATATATATATATATATATATATATATATATATATATATATATATGTATATATATATTCATTTATTTATTTATTTATTATTATTATAATTGTTCTAAAAAATCTAGAAAGTGAGATATTTACGGTTTTATTTTATAGCAAAGCTAACTTTACTATAAGTTATAATAATGGCCACATAATTAGTTAAGATGAATTAAAAGATATGATTGATCGATTAATATTGAAAAAATTAATTTACTTAGATGAAATATAAAAATATCATTTTAAGGGAATATAAAGATTGTCAATGATCATATGATTTTATATGTTATGACGTACTTGCCTTGAATGACTCCCATTCTTCTGTGAGATTGAGCCCCTTGCAGGAAACAACGAAAAATAGAACCCAGAAGGCATACATAGTTGCTGGAAACTAATAATGATATTACAATTAAATGTAAATATGTAATTGCATCCATTAATAACAATTTTATACACTATTAATAAGAAAATTATCCAAAACTATTATATTATAAATTTGCTTATACTTAATAATCTAATTAGTACTACAATAATCTTACGCGTCAACACTAACGAAATATTAGGAGTAGGGAATGATATTATTATACATTAAACATGAGGAGGGAAGATAGCCCCCATATTATAGATACATTATTAGTGAATAATGTTAAATATTGAATAACGTTTATAGTTCCTTAGTCTCTACAAAATTAAAATAAATTAGGAATAAAAACAATAAAAAAATGTGTAATAAAACAATTTCTAAAACGATACCCGATTATGACAACAAATATTTTTTCTTTTATTTTTTAGTTTGGAAGTTACTATTACTATTACTATTCATGAATGAAAAAAAAAAATAAAATAAAATAAACTTAGTGTACCAGACCTGGACAAACAAGTATTTTAATTATTCCTTTTAAAATTTACAGTATTTAAAATACAAAATTTTTGTTTAAAATAAGATTATTTTCAGAAAAAGTGTTTCTAATATTAAATACCAAAAGTAGTTTGTTTTTTAATTATAAACAACAAAATACAAATATAAAATACGTCTTAGGACATATAATATAAATACAATATACAACTAATCCCTTAAAGAATTTTTTTTTTTTTTTTTTGGAAAAATATGAGTTATGAGACTGGGTATACTTTTAAAATAATAGTTTGAATATGAATTATTTAATTGAAGTAATATTATATTTCTACAATTTATTATAAAGGTGTAACTTTGCGAAATTATTTTGTTTTTAATATTATCAATACAATCTCGTCACAGTTCGAGAGTCTAGATCAAGTGGAAGAAATACCATCATAATCATTTTATCCCCTTTACTGCTTGCACAGTGTGGGGTTCCGATTTGTAGAGTTTTGACCATATGTCTCGTTCTTGGACCAACTCTCTTTTCCAACTCCAGTCCACATCCCGCCTCCTTAGCACTCCACACCTCACCTCTCAGGAAATCCGAGGTCTTCCTCTTGGCCTTCTTAATTTATAAACACTTTCGTCAATCTCAACAATATCTCGTGAGCTCTTAACTGCTTCATGATCTTCCCAAAGACAGCTCCTCTACTCGGAATCATAAGCTGCTTTGAAAGTGAAAGCAAATAAAGCCTGAACATCTTGAACTTCTTCTAATCCATCATAACAATAATTTTTTTAAATGACCTGCGCTAGACTTTCTCCGTCCGCTTTATCTAGGACTACTATGAAGAGCATTGGGCTCAAACTGCTACCTTGACTATTACCTGATTTTGTCCCGAAATTCTTTGATTTGTGGTTTCTTGTTCTAACCACATTCTTGGTTTTATTATAAAGACTCATCACTGCCAAATTCGTCCCTCGGTTGATGCCTTTATCGGACAGTGCTCTGCTCTATGTCTTCTTTTCGCCCTTTGTCAAAAGCCTTTTGATGGTAGACAAACGAAACCAAAAGTTCTTTATTCTTTTCGACAGACTTCTCCGTGTGAATTGTGAATGCGTTTAACAGAAAATAAAAGCGAAATTTAAAAAATGGAAAATAAGAAAAACAAAACTCCAAACATGTTTATACACTAAAAAATCCATATCCAGGAAAAAAATCTACGGTGGCAACCGTGCTTGGCACCAGTGCTATTGATACTATTGGTCATAATTGATTTAAAACTATTATTTTATTAAAGATCCAATAATCTTATTTGTCCACAGGGTTCTGGGTCTATAGTTTTCTATTTAGAAGAATGGAAAAATATTTCTTCTCGACAAAATTGTGATATGCGATATTTGAACTATGCTCTTGGTGAACAGGTCAATCAATAATCAAATCTGTCACAATGCTGTCAAAATTATGCATTGGATTGCCTCTTCTGATGTAGCGTCATGATGTAAATATGATTACGTAAGACTTCTTTATCATTCACGATTTGAACACTATCGATATAATTCTAGGAATTAATAAGGTTTCCTTGTTGGTATATTAAAAATAATATATGTTAGAAAAATAAATATTAATTTTCTGTGAATTATTGTCATTTACTTCATTTTTTTTTTCATATTCTGTTTTGTTCAGAGTATTTTAAAATAGAACATTATATTAAATTTTAAAATCTTAAAAAAAAAAAAATGAACTATTACGTCATGATAAACATTTTTTTTTATTTAAGGAAATTTACAACAGTATATAAATACAACCAGTAAATATGCACAAATTAGAAATAATGACATGTACAGGCTTGAAGAGGTACTACCCAGTGGTAGCACTCCCTAGATAATTCTAGGTAAGAAGACGAGGCCATCTCCTTTTCAGATGCCTAAGAGGATTATCAGGAATCAAGAAAGAAGCAAGGCTAGAACCAAGTGGATTCGGTTGGGACTGGAGTTTATCATGAAAGGATAGATATCTGGCTCGGGCGAAATTAGCGATATTTGGTACATTAAGATCTTTATGAATGGTTATATTTTTGACAAAGTATGTGGCATTAAGGATTTTACGAAGTATTTCGGATTGTAAGGATTGGATACGATAGGAATTCGATGGTTTGGTGGAGCCCCAAAGTTCAACTCCGTACGTTTATATAGGTCTTATTATAGTTATGTAGATGAGTCTTTTGTAATTAATTGAAAGTTTAAGTTAAATAGCAGTTTCTTGTCGTTGCAGCCTAGTATGAGAATTCCAAGTAAGAGGTTTATCCAAGTGGAGTCCTAAGTAGCGGATTTGCTCAACAGGAGTAAGTGCAGTATTATTGAAGGATACTGTAGGACAGGAAGTCATAGGTTTACGACAGAGAATAAAGGTGATTTAATGAGATTTATAGGAATTTATTTTTATTTCCAAATTTTAGACCATTCTTCAAGGCTTGTGATATGTGAAGAGTTTGGAACGCAATTAAAGGGTCATTATTAACAAATAGCAAGCATGTGTCATCGGCGTACATGGTGATGTGAGTGTCAGGATCAGTTGGGAAGTCAGCTGTAGAAACTGTGTATAGGATGGGACCGAGGATACTACCGTATGTAACGCCTGCAGATTGAACTAATAGAGAGGAACAGACATTATTTTGATTTACTTTGAAGTACCTATCAGCAATGTAGGAACGGATAATATGGAAGAATGTAGGAGGTAGAAATTTACGGAGTTTGTACAGAAGTCCCGGGTGCCAGACTCTATCAAACATCTGTTCTATGTCGAGAAAGACTCCCGTGCAGTACATTCCACGCTCTAATGCACAAGAGACTACGTCAACCGCACGATGACATTGTTGGATAGTGGAAGGCGATGTGAGGAATCCAAATTGGTGATCATGGATAATGTGATTAGATTCCAGGATGGCGTACAGGCGTTTTAGGATGAATTTTTCCAGGATTTTGCCCTTAATAGGTAATAGAGAAATAGGACGGTAAGAGAATGGGTGTTCGGGTGTTTTTTTTTTTAGGTCTGTGTAACATTTTGACAATAGATATTTTCCAACTATCAAGAAAATATGTGAATCGGAGCACAGCATTATATATGTAGGTGATGAATAGGATGGCTTTCCAAAAAAACAGTTTTAGGATCTGGGAAGTGATGAGATCGTGTCCAGGAGCTTTGCGGGAAGATAATCTGTTGATGCTATTGGATATTTCCGAAGGATGAAATGCTTTAGATGGATGAGTCATTTGGAGTCGATCGTCCAGTTATGCTTTAATACATTCAATTTGATTTGGATTTAAGTTATCAGGATGTGAATCAATGATTTGGAAGAGGTGTTGACCGAATAGTTAAGATTTTTCTTCATCGGATTTGGACCGGTATTTAAACTTTAGAAGAGTTTTTGTGGTCGTCCATAGAGATTATGATAATCAATATTTTTTTCTGGTAATCTTTAATAGGAAAATAAAACCTGTTGATACGGAAAAAATTAAACTTTTTAACGGTTTTTACCGAATCAAAGTTAAAAAAAAAAAATTGAAAAATAAATTTTAAAGACATTCACACCCTTTTTCTTCAGTGTGTCCCAAACCAGAGAGTAGCAGAAGTTCGAGATTATGATGGGGAACGTATGACAAGCAACTCGTTAAATTGGCAATATGTGAAACTTAATCTCTTGTTTTCGTCCATTAAAAACAGCTATAATAAAATTGTGTTTCAAGTGGAAAACTCTCTTTTCTGGAACGAGACTTAAATGATACGTTGAGGGCAGAAAATGGGTCAAACTAACAGTATATAAAGAAAACATTCACTTGATAGGGCATGCAAATTAAAAAGTTGATTTTGGGACAGTTAGTCAATGTTTTCAAAGAAACATTATGCACACCGTAGCTTTTTATATCATAATTAAAAATAAATAGATTATAGTCACATCCTTCAGGTTTGGTGCCATTTTCCCATATTTTTTTTTATAACTATTTTAGGCCAAACGTCACCAAATATACACAGTTTTTTTTATCTCCTGTATTCTTTATTCAAAGTTTCGGCTTCAGGAGCCATTTTCAAGATCCTGCAAAACTAATTTTAATTTAGTTTTACAATTTAAATACATCTTTATCAGACACATATTATTTAACAACCATCAGTAATACAAATAGTCCAAAATTTATTTTTAATTTTTAATAAATTTATATCATCCACCTACCATGCACCGCGCCATAAAATGTTTAAAATCTATCATTGCTATATGATTCGTCCTTTAGTCATTCTTTTATTTCAAAGAATGTCGTTTTTTTCATTTCTAAAAATTGTTAATATATAAATAATAAATTGAAATAGATTGTTAATATTATTTTGAAAAAGAATATTATTAATTCTCGATTTATATATCTCTTTTGCAGACGATATCAAGAAAATTGTTGCTCCTCACTAGGGCTTTCATACAGGACTGGATTTACTTACATTTACTTTCATAAAAAAAAAATTATAAATAGATTCTTAGCAATAAGACACTAAGAAAAAATTA